AGAGAGAGAGAGAGAGAGAGAGAGAGAGGCTTTAAAGCAATAGCATGCTTTAGATGTGAGTGATTTGTCCTATACACGGAAGCATGCCAGATTGTCACAGGTCCAGTTTTTTTGTCACTGTCTTCTACTGTGCCCTCATGCATGATGGAAGTTATCGGTCTCTCAAAAAAAGAAAATTAATTGATTGTATGAATCACAGGTATGAATTGAATTTCATTTTTCAATTGTTTATAACGAAAGAATATTCATTTTGACATTTTACAGAGTAGTTTAAATTTGCTTTGATTTGCACACAAAAAGGAAGAAATATTGAACAACACAAGCTGGATTTTATAATAGAGGGATTATCTCTCGCCAATTTGAAGGTGGAGAATAAAAAACAACAACATAAGTTACAACTACAGTGCTAAAGTGCTGTGATTATGACTGTCATCAATACTCAAATACTTAATTAAAATTGTGAGAAACTAGACCTGTGACAAACTGGACCTGTGATCAACATTACTGGGCGCCCCCCTCCCCCCTATGCACGGGCATTAATTTATTTGTCACAACACAAACGGCACTTTCTGTGCCTTATTTGCCTACGTTCGTTGAACTGCTGTGATTCTATTACTAGGCCTAACCAATAGTAAGCCCTGTGTGATCCTTGAAATGGAAGCCACTGCGACAGCCAGAAATGTTCGATGGTCAGCACTCTGTTATATTCCTAAAACTTGAGTCGTTTCGAGTTTCGAGTCGAGCGAGTCGAGTTCAATTTGGTACCAATTTTTTTGACGCCACAATTACTGAATACTTGCAGTTACGGATGCGGAAATATTTGCATTACGAAATCGAAAGTCCAAGGTCGACCATGTAACACATTGTTTGTACCCAGATTAAAAACATTTTGGTCATTTACAGCAGGTGAGAATAGCTTTTATCAAGGTTGTCATCTCTGACTATTTAGATATATAGCTTAGATCTAGATCTAGTTATTTTCATTCAAAACCAATTAGAATCTAGAGTCTAATGTTTGGATGAGCTTGATATTTTTATATTTTGATTGGGATTTATATTGCTGGTAAAACAATGTTTTTTTGGCAGATTTTTATACTTCAACTTCAGTAGCCTTCGTCTGCAGCCCCAGCCTTCAGGTAAAAAAATAATACTACAAATTTGAACTTGAATGTGTGGTTGATCTCTAAGATCTAGATCTAGATCTAGATCTAGTGGGGTAACTTGTGGTTCTGCTATTTTAATGAATTGACTCTACAAAACTGTGCTTTGTGCACTACTTTTTTTGCCTGCGATTTCTGTTTTATAGGCTATGAAAGTGGCTATTCTCACCCGCCCGAAAGTTCTCGCAAGATCAACTCCCCCCCTCTTCTCTCTCTGTCTGTCTCTTTCTGAATACTGTCTATCGGTGTGGACGATCAAATTGACCAAAACAAAATAAAAAAATGATGTTAAAACACAAAAGTAAATTAATTTGGTTGTCTACAAAGATGCTACGGCTATTTAACTTTTCGAATCGAGCCAAACTACGCGGGTCGCCATTTTGTTTTGCCCGGAAATTCTCGCGCTACTCCTCTCTCTCTTTCTCTCTCTCTCTCCACTCCCCACAGACAAAATTGTATGCTTTTAGTAGGCTACAGTTGTAATGGAACGTTTGTTCACGGCACAGAATTCTACAATTTTTCTGTTATCACAGTGTAGAATTCTGTGGTTTAGGGTGAACGCAAAATTTGGTGAACGCGCACCGGGTGAGAATAGCCACAAGACTCGCCTGCACTATTCTCACTCCGGGTGAGAATAGAGGTGGCCATAGGCTATAGCCTATAGACTAGAATCTAGATCTAGTCTAGATCTAGTATATCTAGATATAGATCTAGATATAATCGAGATAGATCTAGAATCTAGATCTCTAGTAGGGCTAGCTCTATTTGGAGTCGAGTCCTATTAATACTACAGTAGTCTCCGCCTAAGTTCTCGGTGCTTGGGAGCAAGGAAATGCGGGGTCTTAGGCGAATCGGGATCTTAACCGATGAACCCAGGGAAGAATCTATGGTGACCCATGTTAAGGCTCACAATCGGTAAAATGGTCTCCTTCCACTCTACAATGAACTGACGTGACCGCTTGGTGGGTTTATGACGTATGGCGAGCAAAGAGTGGTTAACCTTGATGACCTATCACGGTGCATAGTGGGATGTGGCGTGCCATTTTCACTTATTATCCTATCATGAGTCTCAAGATCTACTCTTATCCAGTTGCCCCTCTTTACCTGTCAAAAATTTATAGCTTTCCATCTCTGACCGACTCCCCCCCCCCCTTCCAAACCGCCTTTGTCGTTACACACCATTACGTTGTGAACCCACCAATTAAAATTCAGTCTTGTCTCGAAAATTCGGGAGTAGAGACTGTTAGACTATTAGATTGCTTTTATCAATATACAGAAGGGAAACAATAAATCCTGGATTGTTGGTCCTTATATTAACATGTTGAATTATGTCCCTGTAATTGTAGGCCCTACTTTTATTTATCTACCCTCACAACAAAGATTGTCTGATCTTAGTGATCTTTAGTACTCACTCCTCCTTCCTGTTTCAATCACATGTACTCATGCTCATGATGATTTATTTTAGTCTTGTCAGTGAAGCCAGAGAGGGCAGACCTCATATTATTTTCATCATTAAATTACCCTTCTTCATCTAGAAACGGAGTTTTTACTTTTGCTTTATTAAATACAATAATGGCAAACAACCCCAGTGCAACTGCTGCAATTGCAATGGTCAGGGAAGAGTTCACAGTTGGATGTGATCCTGCCTGGAGCGAACGTGTAGGCCCTACCCACCCAGCGAGTGATGCAAGTTTAGGTGGCGAGCTCAGGTGTGAGTGCGATACGTGGGGAAAACAAACGCGTCGGTCAGTTCACACCTCGGTGTGATCCCGTCTGGGGCAAACATTGTATCGCTTCATCGAGTTTTTCAATGTGTATGTGATCACATTCACGATAGTGGTTGATCTTTGACGCGACGGACAGTTTATTGATCTCAACTTTTCACTCTAGGTTGATCGGCTGTGCCCGCCCGGGTTTTTGTTTAGCAAATTATGATCTGAAATGCGGGATCTTAGCCGAATGTAGACCATCAGAGCGGGATCTTAAGGGTGACTTTTGTATAGTAAAATTTCTGTTTTCCTAAAACAACGGGATCTTAAGCAAACCGGGATCGTAAGCGGCGGGATCTTAGGCGGAGACTACTGTATTAGATTTTTTGGTATTTTTTTACTTTCCCTCCCGTCTCACACTCAGCTACCAGTTGTCTATTTTCTACTAACTATTGATGCGCTGAACACGAATATCAACTTCATTTCCTTCGCAAATTAATAGTTTTTGAAATATTTGATTGTTTTTAACCGAGATAGACATGCTTTGGACCAATCGGGGGCTTCCTGGGGGGGCCTGCTCCACTGGGGTAAAAGAAAATCTGGGGGGTTACAGGGGGGCATGCCCCCCTGTTTTTACCCATAGTTTGATATTTTACAGTTTTAGATTTGAAATTGTCTTGAAAATAATTGATTTGCGACAGTTTTAGTGGCTTTATGTGTGATCTGCAGCAAACAGTACAGCAGTTTGACCCCTGAAACAGTGCATCTGTGTGCGGGAGTGAAAGTAAAAATTTACCGATTTTTTATCTATTCGGACTCGAGTCAGAATATAGATCTAATCTAGATCTAGAATATCTCTATATGATATGGGTTTTATCTATGGCCGGCTCTATTTCTCTGAACGCTCGGGAAAATAAACTTGAACTCTATTTCTCCGTATGGTTTCCGTTCTCAAGATTTTTTTTGATGTGAATGGAGTGGCACGCATGCACGTGTGTGTGTAGTGTGTGTAGTGTGTGTGTGTGTGTGTGTGTGTGTGTGTGTGTGTGTGTGTGTTTTTGTGTGTGTGTGTGTGTGTGTGTGTGTAAGGTGTGAATGGGTGGGGGCTAGTACTGGCCAATATCGAGTAGGCCTACTTTTTTGACTAAGAGAGTAAGAGAGCCGAATATAATGGAAAAGGAAAATTAGGCTACAGAGCATTTCATCTCATCTCACTTAGTCATACGATATTTAAACAGGTCCTGCTTTCAATTCAAGTTTTTGTCTTCTTTATGACCTGTTCTCTGTCTGTTCTATTTTTAGCAAGTTGTTCTCTTTTGACTATAGATTCTTCTATATGTGAGGCAGCGTGGTGGAATCAGGCTCTCGTCAATTTTTGGGCATCTAGAGTTATTGGTGTCATCTTAAAGCTTGTTCACTTGTCTTTATTTCAATGAAAAAATATCCATTTATCTTGAATACAAGTCGAGATATTTGCCAAAGAAGGAGGTGGGGTCACCTGTTTTCCGAGGTAAAATTAGTTAGAAAATGGCCACCAAAAAGTAGTTATTTTTACTTAGCTTAACAGTCCGTGGTGACTGAAAATTTACATATTTTGTGTCTTTAATCAACGTTTTTAAGAAAAATCCACACAGAAATGAGTTCTTCAATGGATATGAAAGGTGTTGAGCCAAAAAACAAGAATTTGATAAAATTTCACAAACCTGCGGAAAATGCAAGTTTTTTCACTTTGATTATTTGGACGATAGCCTGATTTCACCACGCTGCATCACATATATGTTTCACGACGTGTGGAATCAGGCGCCCGTCCATTTTTGGGCTTGTGGAGTTATTGGTATCATCTGAAAGCTGATTTTTTCGCCTTGCTTCCAATGAAATACGTTTATCTTGAATAGAATTCAGGATATTTGCGACTAAGGGAGTGAGGTCGCCTGGTTTCCGTAGTGAAATTAGGTAAGCGGTTCCTACGTGATAATATTTGTGAACTTCAAATTTTGTTCGTGGTTACTGAATGTCAAGAATGTTTGGATAAACTTGACTCCAAACGGGTAACTTATCCATACTGAATGTTTTTTCTTATTTAAAAAAATAATTTTTTTTTTTAAAAACAGGATCTCTGAGTAAAGAAAAATGTCAAGAGGGACAGACCTGAATGGATTCATCAGAGGGCTTGAGCAGATAACAAAGGCACTTCTTCAACATCAAAGTGGAGAGGCAAATAGAATATGGCAGAATTCAAACATTAGGGAAGTAGTAAAAGATGCTGGTCTAAAAGTTGAAAGAAAGTTGGAAACATCAACTTATGGCGCCGGGCAAGTTCAGGTAAATATAAAATTGAATTTGTGTCACACTGTAATCAGCAGGGGCCTGTCAATTTCTGGGTATATATAGAGTTATTGGTATAGTCTAATTAAAGCTTGTACAGTTGTCTTGCTTTTGATGAAAAAAAACCTATCCATCAATGGAGATGGATAATTATAATTTGAGGAATTGGGAGTGGTCGCCTGGTGTCAGAAGTAAAATTAGTGAGAAAATGGCAACCAAAGTTTAAGAGACTTCCAAAGCTTGAGTGTTCTAGGAATCTGCAAATTAACATTATTTGTGCCTTTGACAGAAGTTTGTCTGTAAAGTTGACTCAGTAATGTTTTTAAATGGACATAACAGATTTACCGTGTGTATGTATGTCAAAAGACAACTAACAGGTCATGTAATTTACAAGCAGGTTAAAACTCAAGGATGTTTGTTTTTTATTGGTTATTTTTACATACCCTGGCACTTTTGTTGAAGATTTAAGTGTAGCTCAGAAGACTTGTACATTTTCTTTATATTATTTGCCGTTTTAGCTCTTCACTGGCAACTTATGATTTCAGGAAACTCTCCAGCAGAAAGCTACTGAGATTGTAGATGCTGTGAGTTCTGTGAAGAGTCAAGCTGCCAACTTAGCCGGCTCCCTCAGCTCGATCAAGGAACCGTTTGAGTCTCCGCCTGTGTCTGTGTATGGAACCGATCCATCATTTGGGGCAATAGACTCAGAAGATTTAACAGGTACTTTATGCCTTTGTTTCAGCACTCCCATCAAACTTGACCTAGTCATAGAGCTAAAGAAAGTGGGCCGGAAAAGTAGGCAAGTGAGTGCAATGTTGACATTAATAATTGTATGTTTTGATTATTGATTTGTGAACACAAGTGCTATTTGTATTTTTAGTTTCTCCTCTCAGTTTACTCCATATTTATATTACTCTAGTCTTACCTTTTTTTTGTGCTTCAGGACCATCATTCTGTTGGAAAGTTAAAATTATATAATTCTCTCCTTTTACTTTTGCTTAGATCAAGGAACAGGAAGTGCATCAAAGCCTCAAGAACTAGAAAAGCCACCAGTTTCGATACCAAAACAGAATGTCAAGCCCAGTACCAGAAATTTCACTCAAGTGGCTGCTTCTTCTGCAGCAACATTGGCTGCAGCTGCTGCTTCCACGGCAAAGGAAGCTTTGGCAGGTAATTCTTTACACATGCATGGTACTAAATTTGACTGCAGTGATAGGTAGGTAGTTCTTTACACATGCATGGTACTAAATTTGACTCTAGTGATTGGTTGTTCTTTACACATGCATGGTACTAAATTTGACTCCAGTTATAGGTTGTTTTTTACACATGCATGCTACTAAATTTGACTATATATAGTGATAGGTAGTTCTTTATACATGCATGCTACTAAATTTGACTATAGTGATAGTGAAGCTAAATATTACCATATTTATAATGCTTTTTTATTTTATTTAAAAAATAAATAATTCCGAGATGGAATATAATGCACAGGGCGATCCCAAAAAATTACAACTTTTTTGTGTGAATATTGTCCTCCTCACTGAAGCTTTGCGTTTCAAATCTGAACATATTTGATACCAAAAAGGAATTTGGCTTATGTTCATGTTAGATAATTTCATTTATAAGCTTTGCTCTATATGGCGCATAAAAATCAGCCCATTTTCATTCTTGTCCCCATTTTGTATGCATGATGCACCAGTTCGCGTTAGGCCTACCACTAAAAGGGGCAATGATTGAACCATATTTCAAGCTACAGCAATGAAACAGGCCAACAGACGTTTGTAGATTTTGTATTTCTCAGGTTTTTCTTTGCCTTCTGAGATCATGATTCAGTTTAGTCAAGTATAAAGTGCAGAAAGCGTTTTGTATCAGAACACACATGACCTCTTTACCAATTCAATTCACCATCCCTGACGTTTTGTAAGTCCTGCACAAGGCATAGGAAGGGAAGAATACAAAAGTGCCCTCAAGGTCTTCTTTGGTGTCATGGGTTGAGAAGTTTTGTCAGTTTGGATCTGTTAACTATCATTACTAAAAATTAAAAAATTCACAGACGAAAAAATCACTTCAGATTGAAAATACACCATTAGATCCCAATTCAAAACTGGGCATTCTTAGACTCTGGTTGTTTTGTGAAGTTTTCAAGGTCCTCAACCCATTTGGCTTGGTCCTATTAGAGACAGACGTTAAATTCGGAGGTCCTGCCTCTTGAATAATCTAATAGTGTTGATAGGGGCGTTAAACCCATACACTTACTT